GGATTACTATAAATCTGCAAGTCTTATCTACCTAAATAACTAAGGACTAAGGCTTCACATTAACAAGGTAAACAGTCTGTAAACAGATGTACAGTAAAAGGACAATGACCTCAAAATTCTGATAATACATAAAATATCTTAAACAGAGGTAGAAATGTATAGTGCAATATGTAATATGACAACAATATCCTTAATATGTATCAGTATACAAAATATCCTAAACAGAGGTAGAACATACATACAGTATGACAAATATAATTTTACATTTGTATCAACAATATAAAATATTTCAAATAGGAGTAGGAATATATGTATAATATGACAAATATAGTTTTATATTTGTATCAATATACAAATTATCTTAAGTATGAATATAAAAGTAGTTTGCATTTGTATCAATATACAAGAATCTCTAACAGTACAAATTATCTAAGGTTGATATTTTACTAAGTTTATTTACTTAATATATATATTAATCTACCTTAATACCCTATACCTGTCCATTTCCATTTTTCTTTTCTTAAGGAGAATACTGAGTCTGAATTTTACTGTTCCACCCCCAACCCTATAACTATTTATCCATAACCCTGATAAAAATGAAACCTTAGAGAGAAGGGGTATTGTTTTCTTAGAATTGCTTCCTGCTGTTTATGGGGTGATGGTATCTCTGTGGAGTCTTGTAAGAAAGTTTAGATATTTAGGTCTTGATAGGACTAGCTGTAGTCTGCAGCCAGTCTCAGAGTAATGGGTAAGGTTGTCTGAGATTCTGGCTAGAAATGTAGTATGATAGACCATCTCATCTTGGAACTGTCCTGGAGACACTGAGATCTAATGTCTAATTACAGAATAAGAATGTGAGAAACACTAATCACAGGTCTAAAGAGGAAATCAAGGGGTCTAGAGAGATGTCTCAGCAGTTAAGAGTGCTTACTGCTCTTGCAGATGACATAGGTTTAGTTCCCAGCACCCATATCAATAGGTATATAACAACCTACAAGTACACTTCCAGAGGATCTGATACCCTCTGGCTGCCATGGGCTCTTGCATTCTCAGGCTGCACTTAAATTCAAGCAGGCGTGCATACAAAACCTCCTCCCCAACACACATCAAACAACAACAACAACAACAACAACAACAAAAAAAAACAATTGGTCCCTAGATATCAGTAGATATCAGTATAACTAGAAGTGGAGCAGCCTCCTCTCAACCTGGCCTCCAAAGATCATGCCATCTCATATTTTAACTGGTTTTTGAGCTCTTGTATAGCAAAAAATAAGTGTGTTTTCTTTTCCTCCACCATAAAAATTCAGTAAATATTCATTAAGTATTCATTATGAGCTAGGTCTAGGAAGAATAACTAATTTGGGATTTCATGGAGCTTATAATCTTTTGAGTGATGACTATAACAGCAATAAGTTTAGTATGCAGTAGAATAGATGATATGTATTAAGAGGGTAAAACAGGGCCAGCAGGAAGGCTCAGCAGATAAATGTCCCCAAGCCCCATGACCTGGGTTTGACCCAAGTTCAGTCTTCAGGATTTCTATGGCAGAAGGGGAAAACCAATTCCCACAAGTTGTCCTCTAACCTCTACACATGTGTGAAGAGACACATGCCTGCATATACCCCAGTTTTTTTAATGTAAAAAATAAAGTAGAATTTGGAGTATAATTTATTTTTAAAAGAAAGGTGATACAGTAGGGGAATAGAAAGTTGAGAGATTTAATGTATGCAGCATGTTCAAGAAGGCAGGATGCGGGCACTCCACAAATGTTCACAATGAGAGTGGCTGCTGAGTCCCATGCTGCTGATTTCACTGTTTACTCAGGAAACTGATGACTTGAATCACCTCCCGCGTGTTTTCTTGTTAATCCATCTAGCTGCAAATTCTTCCTATACGATTTGAGTGTCAGAAACAAATTAATCATTGAAATGCATGTGTTAATGGCTTAGAAAAATGCCTAGTACAATGCTTGACACATAGTCATATTTTTGAAGATTTGACCCACAGCATTGTGCATCTGAAATAGGACTAAATTTTCATTCATTCTCAAGAATTTCACAGGCCATTTCCTACCTTATCTTTTAATATTTTGCCTTCTCCCTAGAGAAACCTTTCAAGTGAGGACGGTGATCAATTATAGTCCGTGTGTGCCAAATACATAAGTTACCACGCTAGTCTTGCATATGGCATTTGTATGAATCCTTGTACTGACACTGTGGGAAGCAAGCCTCCAGGCTGTTAGTTTAGATAAGGAAACATGCTTAGCCAGGTTGTCTGACCTGCTCCGCATCACACAGCCTGTGGATGTGTGATAGGCTTAGAGCCCGGCAATGAGATCTGAGACAAGCTGATGGTCTTCAACACTCTCAAGCATTCTAAAGTAACCTGAGGCTGTATATTTAACTGGAAGTGACTTGTATGTGGATGAAGCCTAACGTACCAAATATTTTGAAACTTGCTGATGGTGCCGGAATACTGGAGCTTCAGTGGGTAGGTGTGGAAGAATCAAATCTGTGTGTCCTTCACCATAAAATGCAGGCATTAGAGTTTGAGCTCAAAAGAAACTTATAGCCCTGGTATCTTTTTGGTATTCTGTACAATTGACAGGATGAGACAGAATCCTGGATTAGTGTTCATCATAATTCTTATTATCTCTAAGTTATCCTACAAAATAATTGCTGGGGAGCCTGCCTGCCTGGACCAAGGCACGCTGCTCTCTCAGTGACTGAAGTGTGGTGTGCTGGCCAAGTGCTCCCCCACGGCACTCTGTCCAGGGTCCAGCCACTGTGTTTGTACTACAGGACTTGGCACGAGGGCTGGGGGAAACAGCTCAATGAACAGTTTGCCTTGAAAAAAGGGAGGATCTGAGTGTGTTTCCCTCAAGCCCACACTAAAAAAAAAATAAAATAAAATCGGGGTGGTCATATGCACTCGTAAACCCAGAGCTGGTGAAGAAGAGGCAGGTCCTCTTTGGGTGTAGTGTATAAAACAAATAAGTGAACTAATGTAATAAATTGGCCTGTTTGTGAACGGTAGATAAAGAATGGTTCGTGAATTCCTTTACAAAACTGTGCATACCAGGCAAGAGAAAAAGGTGTCTTCTCTAACATATCATGTCAGATGTTATAATGACAGGGAGCGCTATCTATAAGGAACCGCCAGCTTTGAACTTGACCTTTTGTATGACATCATTAAGCATATATCAATATCCTAAAATGTAGTCACTGGATTTAGATGTTAATAAATGAATAGGTGCTCAAAGGGAATCCTGAGACACTTTCATTTATGAAACTCTAGTTATATTAAAATTGAAAAAGAGCCTAAATAATTACCTAAATGTTGTTAGAGATTTTATATAAACTCTGGAGAGCAATATCAGGGTATATTCCTTACCAGGACAGTAACTGCATTTATTATACAGAACTTATTATAGTTCACTGTAGGTGGTGGAGCCTTACAATGGTGTCAATATTTAAAGATTTAGAACAGAAAATGTTTTCAAACCCTGTCACAAAAGCTCTGTGGTTGTACCTTCCTTATCAGGTCACAGCACCAGTTCAAATGTGAGGTTTTCTATGGAAAATAGGTCCTCAGCCCCTTTGTAAACTTCCTACATATAAATACTAGGACACAAGAGGGACCAACCATGAGGGAAAAGTTAGATTTATGTTAACTCCAGTGACCTGAGGAGAAAGCTCATTAGCAGAGGACAAATGCTGCAGAAAATAAAGTCAAAACTACCTTTAAATGATTAGAAAACTCAAGACATATCTTTTCTTTTAATTTCTTTTACATGTGTTAACTAGCATTTTGTTACATGTATATATGAACGCCATGTATGTGCCTCATGCTCACGGAGGCCAGAAGAAGGTGTCAGACACCCTGAAACTGGAGTAATAGACTATTGTCTTAATCAATAAACCAGCTCCTCAGCCCCTCAATTTTCAAGTTCTGTTGGATCTTACTTCATGTCCCACTTCTTGTTTTATTCATAGAGAATGTCAAAAGGAGAAGTCTTCGACACCTCTGTGTCATCTTGATAGTGCCCCATGACTTGATCTCCACTTGCTGAGACCAAGTTATATATGAAGGATCTGTTTTTTATTCTGTCACTCCTGAAATGCTGAAGCATTCAGGGAGGTTTCAACTTCTGTTTTTTGTTTGTTTGTTTGTTTGTTTGTTTTGTTTTTGTTTTATGGCCTTTATTCATTTCTCCTTCAACTTTTAGTGACTGTATTTTCTGGTGTCTGCTTTTGAATGTGAAAATAATAGACATTCTCCAATCTGTACTTTTATTTGCCAAGAGTTTTAAAGAAGTAACTTGACTAGTTATGTCCTTTAGAGAAAGACCCAACAGCCACAGGGCCATGTTATTACATTATTATTGTCGGCCTTTGATGAACTTACTTTTGTACTTTTGCTCCTTCAGACACTCCCTGAGCCTTAAAATGCTCTTGATTTTCATTCTTAAACTTTTGCACCAGGTGGTCGGGGGTCTC